ACTCAATGTTCCATTAATTTTCTTATTTATTTATCTATTATCCAAAGCAAATTGATGTTATTTGTACATGATAATAGCATCTTTGAAATTTATCAATTTATCAATCAATGAATGAATGAAATACAGTTGGGTTATTATACTGATGTCTCATCAATTTCAGCTGGCCAAGTCGGGCCCTCCAAAACACCAAGAGACCAGGGGATCTACCTCCAACCTCTCTACTGTGGGGACCAAGAAGGTCCATACAAAGAAGAGGCCCAGTCATCACAAACAGCCAGTAGGCGCCTCCACGTCCACCACCTTTGCCGATCTTGAGCCCCAGAGGACGTCCAGGGTCCGATTTCCCACTGACCACCCTGTCAATGGTAAGACTGAAAATTTCAAAATTTTATTCTGATGAGAAGTGGCAGTAGTTAATTGAAATTAAATGATGTTGAAGTAGCATTAGTCCCTTTTTGCACCTTCAAACGTTCAACTTTAGCTTTAAAGCTAACTTGGTTTTATACATTCATTGTTGCATATATTTATTTTGTACACCATAAGTTCTGGTTTAAGTTTGATTGAGCAGATCTACATGTTCATAGTGCTTTAACTGATTGCAATCAGCTTTCTTAACTGAGACTAACTAATTGCTGTGAACCCAACATAGCTTTCAACCCCGAACCGTCATAAAGTGACCACAGCGAAGCAGATCAGGGTTGATTCAGAGATTATCTAGATAAGATTCTTGTTTATGTTCCCAGTCTGAAAGAGACTAAAGTGCCATTGCCATCACCCTATACTACCAGCAGGATCCATCTATCTCCGAGGGGAAACTCGCTAAATTGCTTTCAGTTTAAGCGCACACAAAAGTAAATTACCCCTAGCAGCTTCAGTGGGAGTGACAGACATTTAACCCCCTTAAACTGAAAACAATTTGGTGAGAATCCCCTGGGAGTTAGATCGATCCTGCTAGTACTAGTAGTACATGAAGTTTATGGGAACCCAGTCTAAGAGTTGTAATGGTATTAACTTCAGGTCAGGGTGAGCTGCGTGAATTGACCCCCGTCAGCACATCATCCAGCACTGTGTACCAGATTGCCCCAGAGAAGGGAAAGGGACTCACTGTACAGAAAAAGATGAGAGGTGAGGACAAGTGCACAGAGAAAGTCAGAGAGAGAGAGAGATGGTGTGTGTGTGTGTGTGTGTGTGTGTGTGTGTGTGCACGCGTGTATTTTATAGGATCTATGTCATCTTTTTAACTATCAAAAGTCGCCAGTAATTCAACCAATTTTCAGAATTTTCTTTTTAATTATTGAATACATGGTATGGATATAAGGAATAAACAATTAGATATTGAACTATGCAGACGTTAGGTAGGTTAAACATGTGCATGTGTGTGTGTGCGTTAAAGAAAATTAATGTCAATATGTTTTAGTGTTCAACTCCAACCTGCCATTGTCTCACTCTCCTGCTGTCAGCACACCAGGACAAAGGGATAAGAAACCCCCTCCAACCATTCCAGCCAACTACAGGAAAGGGGACATCCACATCACTGGGTTTAGTCTTCAGAGATAAACTGACCAATCAGGGGAAAGGAGACATCCACATCACTGGGTTTAGTCTTCAGAGATAAACTGACCAAAGAGGGGGAAGGGGATATCCTTATCACTTGGTTTACCCTTCAGAGATAAACTGACCAATGACTTGTCAAAACTTGTCAGATTTGAAAGATTATTGCTTTCAGTGTTTAAATGTAGATTGAGAGATGCCATAGACTGTTTTTAAAAAATTATATTTATATTATTAAGTCATGTATTAGACAAAGAAACCAAAGAAAAATGTCATATGAACCAAAGTACAACAGAAGTTTTTTCAATCTTTACTAATGAACCAAAGGATAAACATTTTACCAACCAAAGAAAAAAAATGTCAACAGTGCTATGAAAAATGTAGTAACTAAAAAAGCAAATTATTTGCTTTTTGAGCATCAGAGAAAAGAACAATTCTGTAGTCAGATAGATATCTGGAAAGTTCTTATTACAATATATCACAAATTGTGCTATAAGATTAATTGTTGGCATCTTTATGATGCATCTATCATCAGTCAAAAACAAAATGGAGAATACATTTTAAAGTTAGATTGAGTATTAGTGCATTATAATGGTTTTAATATGGTTTTGGCATTCCGGCCTTGCTGTTATGGTTGTTAAATGACCAACCTATATGTTGATACATGTCCATTTTCCACTGACACATACTCCCTACTTTGGAGTAAACAACTGGTAATGACAAACTTTGACAGGTGCCATATTGAGGATGTTATGAATTTTCAGATGTTAAGAAATGCAGATTAATCATGAAATAACACATAGAAATGTTCATCTTTGTAAAATTAAAAAAGGCACAATGCACTAGTACTTATGAACTTTGACTTTGCAGGAGGACGTTTTCACTGAACAGAATATTTAAAATCTTGGTTGTTGGGGGGGGGGGGGGGGTGATATATATTACAAGTGCAATAGCAACTAAATTATCAATGCATATGGGCACCATAGAGCACATACTTGTGACTCTATCATAGTACCAGTAATATTGTTCTGTGAACAAGAAGTGTGCCTTGAGATCGGTTTGAAACAATGGTGTCAATTTTATTTATTGGAATCTCAAATTTTTAATTAGGATTATTAGTGGAAAAATCATGAACTACCACTGACTGGGAAACTTAATATTGTTTGAATAAATATTGCCTGTATCATACAATATTAGCTGGATGTAAATAGGATCATGTACTGATGCGACCTCGACAAATGGTTATTTTGGTGCTAAATATGAAAGTACACTTTCTCTGTTTTAGGAGTTTTTAACTTGAAATAATATCAGAATTTTATCTGTATATTTAAAGTTATGTGTTAATTGCCAAAATAAAATATAAGATAGATAAACTTAACTTTTTCTGTAGTGCAATATTATTTTTGTAAATTCTGAAGCATATTGAATTGAAGAAGACATGTTTATATGGTTGATATTTTATCAACATTTTCCTTGTATCTAGCAGTCATTAAATCCCTGTAAATAGTTACTTCAGTACCTTACTGATTATAAAAATCTAAGTATGAAATAAAACATCCATTACAACTTCTATATTTGTGACAGAAGAGTTTTTATTTGTTACGTACTTCTGTGTGTATTTCGTAATGTTTGCATCTAGTGTATTTAGAATGTATTGAACTGATAAGTAATTGAAGCTATAAAGAATGGTTAAAATATACATACACAACCCTTCAGGATATTGTCACCCTTTGCCCAAAACGCCTTATTAACTGCCTTACACACATTCTGATCACCGGTCTCTCCCTCCGTCCACTCTTGTCTACGCCCTCAAAAACGATAATAGTTTCTTATTGACAAAATCGTTTTTGAAAAACGACACTAGTTCCTGGTTGCCTGATTTTTTTTCTCAAAAAACAAAACTGGAAACTGGACATTAACTTCAGCACCCTTCAAGGGGAGCCACGTGGATGAGAGATGCATCAGGTGCTCAGCACATTGTAGCATAAGAGCTAAGCACAATGTGGCACTTTATTGATTGGTGCAATCAAATATGACTTCTGCATGCTTTATCAAAAATCCATCTATAAAAAAAGTACAATTGGTATCATAAAAGTATAAAAATGAAATGTTTGTTAGTCGGTGTTTTAACCTTTTAACTTTTTAACTAATTTTAAAATATATTCGATCAACTGAATAAAGACTAGTGTAAGTAAAACGTATTTCTGAATGCCTTCATGTCGTTTTACGCATCTAATCCATAAATCGGTCTCCTGCTCCATCGAACTACCGTTCCTGCCACACCGGCAGCGCATGGGACCCCTGGAATAAGGTAGTTTGCTGCGTCTCTTTCAACCTCTGACAGCCTAATTAAGTGAAACCGTAAATCAATCTTTACAAATGCTCTGTACTGCCACTTTACGATCAATCTTTTGCAAGCAAGTCATGTGGGATTTTCATAATTAAAGATATATACCAGGTCCTGGCGGCAATTGCAATTTGATGATGGCTCTATGTCCCAGAGGGCGTGGTCAAAGGGGGGAGGGGGAAGAGAATGCCTTATCTTTATGGATTTGTACAAAATGTTTTGAAGCGCCCGTTTGAAGTAAAATCTATCCAGCAAGGGGCCATCGAATGAACAAAGCTTAAGGGTGGATCACTGTTTGACTGTTGAATGATTTGTCATTTCAGGCGGCTGATGACTCTTCTCTGGGATCTATATTTGACTCGAGTGAAGACACACAAACAATTTCAACGGAAGAAAGGCTACAATTATTCACCGATCAAGGCGTATGCATGTAAACACGTATGTATTTATACCGAATATCTAGAATGAAGATTACATTGAATACCAAAGAGAAGTAATTCATGTCCTCCAGAGACCAGTGAGAGCGTGGCCCAGGACCATGCATTCCCAAGGGCATACATTTCCAGGTGCTTTCCTCTTGGGCACAGTTTCCTTCCACGTATACACAGTAATATTATTGGCGGTTGAGAGACGAGATACATAGCACTTGATTGTGTTGCAATTCTTCATTTGCTAATTAATCATTTTCTTAGCATCCCTCGTAGACGTCACATTTACGTTATAAACAGTTGTTTTGCTTTTTAGATGATTTAGAAAAAAAAATGCAATTACTGTTTCTCATCGGTGATCCACCTTGCAAATGGTTTTCTGAAACACCAATAAAAATGTACTCCCTCTCACTGACTTTTAATGCATATATTTGCACATGCTATCTTGATTTTTATGCAAATAAATGACACGAGCAAGGCCAAGTTGATCCGAGCATTACGCTCTTTTGAGTTTATTGTCTAGGCTCTCATACAATGTTTGCAAGATTTTATTGTGAACTACACATAGAAAGTATCGATGTTGTGAGACTCTAGGGTTCTGACAGTGGATGGCAAGCATATTGTGGATGGCTTAATTTGTTAAATGATCTCCTAGGGGGAGGAGACGTTAAAATCTGACATCATGCGGTGGAAAGCAAGAAAAATCGAAAATTAGGAAAAATGGTTCAAGTGTTTCAACTTCACCTGCACTTTCCCTGCAAGCAATTTTAGTAACCTGAAGTTCTCACTCTTGCTCTGAACGTGAGTTTAATCATTTGTGTTTAACATTTACCGGTACTGCAACTGTGACTAACAAACTTTACTCATAACGCAGATGATGCGTTTTGGCGTCGATGATTTTCGGGAGAACGGCTGTAGGCAATCTACAGCACGTGTCGGCATAAGTGCTATTTACATATTAAACGTGCAATCGACTTAGGATGAAGAGTGATCATAATTTGAAGGAGGGAGTGGGAGTGATTGCCTGTGTAAGAGGGATTACGCACTAAGCTAAAGGCCAAGGACAAACTTTGTTCTGGCATAATTAGAAACCATTTCTGAGACATTTCGGAACCGACAAGAAGCAAGTGCCCGGAGAGCTACCACGGTGTGTGTGTAAATATAAGGGAACGCTGAAAATTATGGGAGCATGTCCGTAAATAAACCTGTGTGGAAGTCGTTGCAGAAGCATAAACCATCAGGATAGAAACAACGGCAAAGATGGCAACTTCGGACGCGAGACCGATCCTTGAACGTCGGATCCTCATAATTACATGCTTCATAACGCTGTTAGCTTTTATTTTCTACATTGTGTCGATTACTACTGATTATTGGGCGATCATAGACACGCCAAATGGAGTGAACACGAGTGGGATGTTCATCCTTGGTGCTCACCTTGGAATATGGCGGTTTTGCTATTGGGAAAGCAACGTACCTACGGGCAGTTTATTCGGTAATTATGGGGCATGCCCCTTTTTTAAATTGTGTTTTGTATAGAGTGTTCGTTGAATATGTCGTTTTCCAAAGTGCTTTAGTTTTCTATCCTTAGAAAGATTTTACAAAAGAGAAAGAAAAAATATTCACAATTGGATTGTTTGGTCTACTACAGAACGTCCTGTACCTGTATGAATACGGAAACGTAGAATTCCGCAGGATTCCTCGGTGTATCGGAAAAAAAGATAATATCAAGCATAACGATTAGTATGTTATTTGACCCTGTTTTACTGTTGCCACTTGAAGCCACTTATGTCTTTTCCCAAATTTCTTTGGCCTCTTCATGGCCTGCCCATGTTTCGGACGTTTTACATTCAGGTGGTTGATTGGATATAATAACCCTAAAGTGTATAGTGCCACTTGACCTTCAGATCTACAACACACAAGGCTACATGTACAGAAGCATTTCCTACGAAATCAGACTTTTCATGTTAACTAGAATTCTACTCATATTTTGGACATTCGAGATGACAAAAATTATATCGATTTTTTTTCACTTTCTAGAGGTGAAATTCATTGGGTTTAGTCATAAATAAAAGCAAAGTGCATACTCCATAATAGTTCATTAATCATTTATTCTTTTTGCTTTTTCGACATGCGTTTTACTGAAAGGCTGATGGCGTGTAGATAACGAAATTTATTGGTTTTAGTCAAAGTCAAAAGCTAAGTGCAAACCCCATAACAGTTTGTGCATCATTATTTTTTTTTTTTCGACAGCATTTTACTGAAGTGCTAAAACCGTGTAGGCCTATATAACCATTATTGGATATGTATTGAATCAACCATGAGTACTTACACAAAATATCCAGGTAGATGAATGGATATTGGACATGAAACTGACATTTTAATGCATTTGCCACACGTTGTGGATTGAGGATCTGTTAATTTATGACAACGGAAATAAGGGGTTTGTTTCAGATTATCGATTGTTCCGAGATCTGGGCCTGCGGATCTTTCTTATCCCTATTTGTTATCTTAATTGTACCAGGTGCGAGGTACATACATAATTTTTAGCACATTGTGAAATATGATTGATGTCCTAAACGACAACCGACTTAATGTACATCTAAGCTCATCTGAGAAGGAAGGCGGAAACAACTTGCCTTCATACTAGACTCTTTGACTCCTTACTTCCAAGATTGCAGAACATTGGCTATATGCCCAAAACACCTGTGGTAGAGCTTTTGATTTTTTCGTCTTTTTGTGCAATCTGTAACGCACCATTTTATTGTCTTCTCTTAACCCTGAGAAATAAGACTTTTGCAGCTTTTGCAACTTTTGTGACTTCTTTTCTTTGCTGAAGAGTTTGCTCTCCAGCATTCTTTTGTTTACTGGAGAGCAAGCTTTGCAGCAAACAAAATAAGTCAACATCTATTCATCTAAGGCTTATTCGTCAAATGTTGTCTCGATTACTATTACTGACACAGAATACATGTACTTGGTGCTTATGTTCTAAAAACAGTTTCTATTTAAATTCTTCCTAAATTGCACAACACCAATCATGACAGCTTAAGGTACGTTCAAAGTTATCAGTAAGCCGTTTCACAACGTAAATATCCATGAACCAATTTGCATTTTATTGTCATGAAGCACATTTAATTGCATGTATATTACGGAATATGTGACAATGATTCCATCAAATTATTATTGTTATCTCCCAGATAGCACTGCAAATCGCATTCCCCAAACATGCCTCCAACTTGTGGAACTACATGTATAATTACCTTTATAGCCATAAATACCTTTTAATGTCAAAGTTATTATGAAAAAAGCGATCTCTCAAATGTATAATTCCAGTATTAAGGTGAAAGCATTAAAGTTTACCTCCCCTCACAGGTGCATATATCATGTTTAAAATTCTTTCGCTTCAACGCCGTTTTATATCAGTTTGGTTTCACCTGCCTGGTTTTTCCAACAGTATCGGATTATGGCGCTGGAATCTTACTGGTTTTCATAAATGAAACCTATCTAACATGAAAAAGGCGCACATGTCTTGCAACAGATGAAAAGTGAGTGATAAAGTAACCGTAGCCGTTTCTACGCACCAGGTGATTGCTTTATCTGACAACTTAAAAGCATTTGTATAGTGGTGCATTTGAAAGCGATTGAAACTTGTGTCTTGGTGAAACAGATGAAATGACACGCGAGTATGAAAATGGGCGGCTTTTCATTCAAGGGATGGAAAATTAGGCTAGTATGCAAAGCACTTCGCACTCAATGTATGAAGGCCGCGCAGGTTTAGGGGAGACACTTTAAAAGCACATGTCCTTAAGATATATAATACCCTAAAGAATCATCAAGACATCATTTAAATATATCCTGTGGAAACAACAGAACCTCCAAACTCCACGAAAACCAGAAATCTTTTAACACAATTAGCAAAGAGCAGATATCATTGCTCGGTGCCTTTGAACTCCAGGCTGCCAAAATAAAGATTTCCGTCAAAACAAGTCTGTGTGTTAGGTCTGTAATCCAAGAAGTTATTCACCGCCGTAGAGTGATATGTGTGAAGGGTAATTGGAGGCTTTTGGAATAACAGAATACAAAATATACGGTAACAAACCACGACTGTAAAAGATTTGTTTATACATGTTGAAGTATGATGCGAATATGGCTTGGAAAGATCTGGGATACATTTGCCAGCTGCTCTAAATAAGTGCACTGCAACAGGGGCACCATGGCAAACCTGATATTATTTATATACATATGTATAGTTCTTTTCAAGACAGCGGGATATTGGGATTTTACCCATGTTTATACATGTATCCTCCAAATATACCTTAAAATCACACGGTGCTGACTCCGCCATACTGTTGCGATTAGTAGGAGTAACATTGAAAAAAAGGATTACCTACGAGTACAATGTATGGGGCGGTAAATTGATCAATTAAAAATGTACATTTTATGTTCATGTTCATTAATGATGAATCTTTTTTTAAAGTTTGCAACATCACCCTGGGAGAAAATCTTGAGGCCAAGTGTCGTAGGGAATTTCTATTATTGCGATTCAACGCAAAGAATATGTGTGCCTTTGTGTCACATATATATGATTTATTAACAATCAACGCTTTTCTCTCGAGATTTGGTTAATTTTATATTCTTATCCTTGAGTAGTGTTTCCCATTGCCATGTCCATTGTTCGCACATTTTTATCGAAATCTGACTTTAAAAGGATAACAACTCTTCATTTTGGCGGGAAAAGTGCCATAAACGTTTTTTATTCTGCAATAACCTCTCAAGGGATAATTACAGAGGGAAGTCATCTATTCACATGGTCCAAAGGCAAGCACAGATTTGGGAACAATTGCAATAACCGCAGTTTTGGTGGTAAAATAAAATTTAAAATATTTCTGTGTGTTGTTTACAATGTATTTTTTGTGGAATTTTGAATCTCATATGAAGAGTTGTTATCCCTTCAATTGATATCAGATCTAAAATGTTCTATCATGCATTTCTCAAACTGGTATCACCTGTTGAGGGCTGGTGAAAACCAAATGAAGCCTACAGTACACCTTTCACTTAACCTTGCCAAAGGCACCAACTCCTCTGCATGGCAGCGTAATTATAGTATCGATTGTCTGACGCTATCCGTACCTTCACTGAAACCGAAGTGGCCTCCCATATAGGAGTAATCACCGAGCACCTGTAGATATTGTTAGTCGGCACTGGCAGGCAAAAGAAAAAAAAATGCGGTTGTTTATGCTCTGCAACCCCGGAAAGGTTCCAACCTGAGCTTACGGGGTTGAAGCAGTAATAGGTGCCTAATACTGTTTAGTAGGCAGGCCGGTAGTCATTTTACCAACGGTGTTCGTATTAAATCAAGTTTTCGTTTTTATTAGACAAAACGGTGCCCCGGGAGTCTGTATTCAAATGGTAGACTCTCTGCTCTTTTGCCATTCATTTTGAGGTACTCTCACCATGCTATACCTAACTCATCCTAGGGGTACAAAATCAGAGGGTCTTGTTCGAATTTTGGGAAATGTCATGAGCGGCTTAAGCTCACGCGTTTTGTTGAAAATACGTTATTCTTGTATTACAGGAGAAGTAGGCCTACCCTAACGCGGACAGATGATACCTTATATCGTTTTCCTGTTCCATCCCACTAAGGAACTAACATGTATGTAACGCAGAATTTACATGTGGAAATATAATGTAAAATGACTGAATTTCGAATAAAAACAAATCACTATGGTTTTACTTTAAAAAAATTTTTGACTTACAGCAACGCACTGCCTACTTAAAATGTACAGACTTTAAGACAAGAACAACATACCCGAAAAATATTTCATTATATATAGTTTTGGAAATTTAATCGATCGAAATTTTTCGGTCGGCTAAGGCGCTGTCATTTTATCATAACAATACTTTGATGCTATGCAAGGTAGCTTCAAAATGGCACGTCAAAAAAATAAAAGCCGGGGTTAAAAAATTATCACTGAATATAAAAAAGGAAGTAACTGTCTTCATCTATATTGTTCTGTCTCTAAAGATTCAAACCCATTGGAATAACATCACAAATCCATGGCTAAACTCTTACTTCATATAGTTGTCCCAAGGTACCAGAGTCCTATAATACATGTACGGCTGTTGGTAGGTACATTTGTCAAAAGGTCTAATTAAGCCGTGTAATCAGCGTTCACCAGGGGACCTGACAGTCCCCGAATCTTTCAGAATAACCGATAAGTGCCCAGTGTCCAGACGGGACCTCGAGACTACTGATCAGCGAAGAACTCGATCCATCATTTCCATGGCCGCTGATCGTATTGTAATTTAATGATATATTCTTGTGCGTGAATCTGCCCTGCACAGAGTTTTAATGTTGAAATTCATTATCAGAAAGATTACTACTGGTCTTCAAAACGATCTCAATTAAATAAATTAAGAAATGAGGAATTCAAGCGGATTTTACAAGGGGAGCTGGGGAGGACAGTTAAAATGAGTCCGATCTTGCAGGGGTAAACGCCCTTAAAATATACATTTGGTTTATTGCGAGATCAGTTCGTGGTTTATCTAATATCGACGCCAAATACAAATTTACAGAAATTATTTTTCTGTATGGTTTACATAATACCAATTTTAACCCAAACTCTAAATCCAGCTTCTTTACAGTCAGTAAACATTCACGTTCCTTCGACTTTTAAGTTATTAAACTATCGTTTATATACCACCGTTTCTCAGCGTTTAACTCTTGTTGCTCAAAATTGGCAGATTAAGTGCGAAATCATTTTTGTTTAGCACTTACAAGTACAATATGGCTTTGACATTTCAATCGCTGTTTTCCCCTGAAAAAGAGTATGAGCAACGAAGGCTTGAAATATTGACAGGGTAATCTGCCGCTCTCTTTTATGGCCTCTGCCATTTGGCTCATCTTTAGATGAAGAGATACACACAAACAGTAAAAAATACATAGAGTAAGTTATTTCAAACTATGAGGCAGTAAAGGAAAGGAAAAAGGAATGTGCTTCTATTCTGAACATAACATGTTCTAAATAACGATGGATGTTGATGCGGCTCATTTGCAGTAAGAAGCCATTGTTGCAGTCTTGCTGGTTGTTCTAGATGTGTCATTTGTACCGTTGTACATTTTTTTCAGTTTGAGGTCTTGATTTTAGGGGCGTGAATCTTGAAATACACTTTTTCCTTAAAATTGTAATAGAAAAGTACAATAAAGGAGTATTTTGTTATATTTATTGACAAGCCTTTGACTGAGAGCAAGTGAACGACGCGAGCTATAACAAGAAATTGTGTGTTGATGCCACTATTGATTATATAATTTCAACTTGAAAGTTGCATGATTTATGTGATTCTTTGAGACGAGTGTGAAGTGTGAAATATGCTTTATCTACATGTAAACCGTTCACTAATCCGGGCACAAATATATAAAACCAAATAAAAATGTTCATGGTTTGTATTTTATTTCACAGAAACAGATGACAAGCTCTGCAGATATGTCCACTTGTTTACCTCCGCAGAAGATGTTATGAAAAACAGCGAAGAGGTCGACACACAGACTATGGGTGAATAGAAACACTCTGGAATTATTTTCTTTTTCTTTTTCTACTGAAATGAAATAATCTGTAAATTAATCAGTTCATCCATTTAGTTATTAGTCAATCTAAATGGTTATTCATATCTTTGGTTATTTTTCGGATTATTTTCTAGATATTAAATTTGAGATCTGATTTTAAATCTAAATGACCGCATCATTGATGTCCGTATGCTTTACAGCGGCACTAAGCTAAAAAGTTCACGTTATCATTCCCCCCCCCCCCTTCAATCCTGCTTACTGTTTTAACATGCAAATATGTCAAAACACATTTTTGGCAACTGAGTGAAAAAAATTACCGAAAAATAAAAATATCCTTTCTTTTGTTTCCAGACATGAATCGATCAGCCGCCGCATTTTCAATTATAGGACTTGGGTTGATACTGCTGGGTCACTTATTCGCTGTATACAGTTTGAACCAGCTCCGCTTTATGTACAAAAGGGTAACTGGTTGCATTCACATTATGTGCGGTACGTTTCATATGATGAAGTATAGATAAGTATTCAAAGCCTTTACCAGTATAACTGCACAGAAGTTATAAATGTATTTTGCGTCAAAACATTGGCCGGTCGTGTATAGGAACATATGTTGTACATATATTGATCAGCTCTTGCCCGAGCTATATGGACTTTTCGCATTGTTTTGCATAAATAATAGTGGTCCTTCACTAGAAAGTTTAGAAAATTAGATAATATATGGCTTTAGGGGTGTTCCATATCGATGTAAAGGCATTTCATAGAAAATCTCACTGGGACATTTTGCAGCGAAGTAAAAACAGTTAATAAACTTATGCAAGTGTCAATTTAGCAACGAAGAGAGCACGTACTAAAATGAAAAGTTTTGGTTAATCCTATTACTAAAACATGTGGTTCGACATGTGTTTCAAGTCAGGAATGGGCCTGTTTTTAGACAGAACCTTCTAAGCACAACAAAGAAAATGTCAGTACCAGAGAAATGCGCATGTGCCGCAGCATGAACTTGGGTTAGGTTTTTCAGAATACCTGACAAAAGCATGCATTTGTACAGAACATTTTTTACTTTTCGTGAATATTCCCAGAAAAATACCTGGCTGCTGTATAGCAAAAGTTCATAGATGCTTCAAGGAGCATCCGCATTGTTTCGGTGTTAAAGCACTAGGCTAGCCAAGCTTTATATGATAAGCAGATATGACGAGGAATGTATTTCGACGAAATAAAGTAGCTATTTATAAAGTCGACGGGGCTCAATAGGTATAATATATAATCATACAGACCCAGCTTCTTTAATTGGTCCGTATGATTTACGTTAAGAAGGGAAAGTGCAGTTACTGTTGCGCTACACCTGGCCAGGTGTGTTCATTCAGTTGCCCCACTTACTTTCGCTAGTGTTATTGACAGGTGCTATTTTTGTTATAAACCCAAGATGCATATCCTCTCAAACATTTATTTTTCTTTTTTTCAGCTCTCTGTATTATTCTAATCAACGAAATCATGATCAATAATGTCATTCGTCGAGTTGACGAGCTGGCAAGGTTCGCGGATTCGGAACTGGTGTGGGGATACTCCATCTACCTCTCGTGGGTAGCATTTGCTGTCTTCTTAGCAGCTGGGATTGTTTTCTTTCTATGTTCGAAGAAACGGAAAGGCGAACACGCATTCTCAGAAGAAGAAGCGCTGGAAAACGAGCCAATTCACTTGGGGAGAATATGAAGAAGACGCCGTGCGAGAGACAAAGGTGAAAATTGATCCACTCGTCGTGCTATTATCAAGCAACTATGCATTACCCCGTAAATGCTGCGAGGTGGTCTGTTTACCCGAAAAACTTTTACCTGAAAGTGGACTACCTGTATGAAAGGCTGGAAGAGAATAGAAAATAGCCGAGAGAGACCCGACTTATCCCAATCTGAACTCGGGGATTCTTTTCTAAGTGGCTTGCTGAAATGAAGTGAAAAGATCACTGGCGCCGTCTGCTGTACTCCCAAGGAAAAAACCTTGTGATAACCTTTCTTCGTCGAGCGAAAGTATCCCTCATCATTGGCCCCGCAATTAACGTTTTTATGTCTTGAACCTAAGATTAAACAATATCTTATTGATACAGGTACCTTTTAACAGGATTTAAATGTAATTTATGCAAGAACATAATTATAATCAAAATGAAGTTGTGTGATACCTGCAATCTGTGCAAAAATTAACATGATATTCTTTTTCCTATCATTCCCGACACACAGTGTCTTAAAACATACTTTGTGGTTCGTTTATTTTTCTACCAAGTATTAGGCTATGCAGAAACAGGAATATCTGCAGCTAGAGCTGCAGTGTATATCTTAACAGGCTCTAGTTTGACCTGAGATTTGGCGAAGTAACGCCATGAGGCCTGTATCCTACAAGTCGCCTTTTATACGGCGAAAGGACTGCCATTGTATGGTTATAAGACGTGGTAAAGACAACGATACCACGGCAATGTTCATTTACATGTGCTTTATAAAGATTAACCCTTAAGCAAGGTAATGTTTTAAACTACGATGAAAGACAATAAGAGAGACGTGGACCCATCTCGCGAACATGCGATGGGCAAACGTTTAATTAGTGAATAGAAATGGTTATTGTGGGAAAAGAGTCGTTAAGAAATATCTAGTTTGAAGTAGATATTTAGTTCAATTTTGTAAATGTTACGGTTGCTCAAGCTGACATTAGGATTGTTTCGTTTGTTGTTCTTATAATACGTGTGCACATTTGACATGCTGCAGTTCTACATAGGCCCTATGCCCTTTTTGCAATTTGCAAGTGTTAAGCGGTGGAGCAGTATAGGCATATCAACTCACCAATTTGGTCTTTTAGGGTGTTGACATTGTGCTGTTAGTACAAATATGACATTTTTGAAAATGACTGTTATACCATAGGTATTTTGGTGCGTTTTAGAAAACTTTCTTTTATTAAGTCGAAATTGCTCCGTTTTTATAGAACACATCTATTCTTTACCGTTTTTCAGACCGTTCTTTCCTTTCTTGTGTGCAATTATTTCAGGCATGTATCACGTTATACACTCTCAGCATGTAATAGCACCTGCGAATTTTAATGTCTAAATTATCGTTGACAAAGAGGGGAAAGGGCAATTATTTTTGCTTTTCTTTAATTTCATTTTTTATAGCCCTAGACATGCAAGCACGAAATTTATCAATATTCAAACACAATGCAAATACTATATTCACTTTTGATCCTCAAACAATTCCCGAGTTTGTGTGATTTCTTGCATTTCAATAAAGTGCTTAAAACTTCTTAATTGTATCTTTTACTTTGCCGAGGTGCAACGTGATCTTGGTCTAGGCAATCGTGCGGGGGATATTAAACCGGAACCACAATGGCTGAGTGGAAGTTTCACCTAACGCAATCCCGGAGTCATTCTTGAAGAAAGCATTCTGAGTGAAAGGGCGACTATGTTTAATTGTATCTGTTCTTATAAAATTCCTTTTATCCATTATAAGTACCAAATTTGTCGTTTACCCCAGGAATATTTTTATGGCACTTTTCCCACCAAAATGAAGAGTTGTCATCACTTGAATGTTTAAATATTAGTTAAACGCAATGTTCATGTGTTTGGGTTACTTCATTGACCCTTCTTCTTTCGTGCTACAAGACAGGAGCAGGATGGCAGGTAATCACTGTTAATGCCTTAAGTGATCACCTCTGATTAAGAGAGGTTTAATTGCTGATTAATTAGGAGGATAACCCACAGCGGAGATCGAACGTGAAGATTGAAGAATTTTACAGAGATAGACCCCTTGCCAAAGATTTGAAATAAAGATATAGAGGTATCATTTTCTGTTCAGTGGTTGCCAAAATAAATTTCAGCTATGGGCGCCATCCAAATTGGCCTTGGCAGCCCTTATAAAAGGCGTCGTTGTCACTGCTGTGCACAATTTTAAAACCAAAGCAAGTGGGCATCCGTGAGGATGTGCTCTGAAAATGAAAAATTATCTTGGATATTGCCTTTAATGATTGCGTTGGTGACAACGCTTGCTACCAGCATCCTGATCACCCTCAGTGTGTTGACGGACTTTTGGGACGCCATGCATTTTGATGCGGATTCGCTAAGAGACGTGGTCTTCAACGCCACTGGGATGAACGTGACCTTCCCCAACAACACAATGTCCCACTTCATAGTGAGCTTGTACACTGATGATCCTGGGGAATATCGTAAAATCGCCGTGCCAATGAACAGAAACGGAGGACTTTGGAGAACGTGTGACTCAACCAAAGGTAATTATTTTTTATATTGGAATTAAAACAAAACATTCAAAGGTCCTTTGAATAAAAACCTGTAATAACTGGTTAAAATAAACGATGTAAATTATTGCGTGGCAAGGCATTTATCCATATATCTATCTATATATGTACAGATACATGTATATTTCCATTAAGTTTTTTGTGCGCAAAGATCGAAATAAGTTTAATGTGAATACGAGAGTGGTTATCTACTAGGTTGCTGCGGTGTATGTCACTTCTTTTGCAAGGCGGAACCTATAGTCCCCTAGACATTTAAGTGTTATAGAACTCAGTTGACTGAGCTTACACGGTACACGAACTCTGTACACGATAAATCTTAATTTTTTTTATTTCACAGATGAAAATAATTTGATAATCCACCTAATGCCAACCAGTGACGTTTGTGACTATTACACCTACTCCTTGGATATCTACATTTCTCAAAACACAGCGCAGATTTTATGTAAGTATTCCACTGTCCGAATCCGTTGCTAAGAATCTTTTTATATCTAAGATAAATTTTACATCTAAATTCACAGATAAAACATGTTTATGTCTCTTATGTTACAAACCTTGATCATTGTTTTATAAAATTACTCTTAATTTTTTTCTTTTGTGTAGCTATATTGGTTGCGAGCAGGGTATAATTTGGTTATTTTGTTCCTGTAGTATTTTTCTTGCTTCTTGCTCTTGCTATAATTTATTGTATTTTTCACATGATTTATGCCGTATCCTGTAAAATGCAGTAGACTGTGCGGGTATATAAGATTAAGTAATTGCATATTAAGGATCCACCTGTCTTGTTGACACAGAATGTATATGAAATACGCATGTGTTATACGTATTGTTACCAACAAATGAAATATTCAGACAAAAAGTCTGCATCGTAGGGCCTAAAGTAAATGGCGTCACTGAGCACCTGAGAGTTGGCGATTTTTATCGATACGTTTTATCGATAAGTTTTTTATCGCTCTTCATTTAAAACAAGGTGTCGCAAGGCGCATTCAAATATAAGTTTCTTTAATATTTGTCTGTCCTTCGTCATGAGGAATAGTTATTGAATAGTTTTTTGTACCCTCTCTTTAATGCAAATTTCATTTTATAAAATAGCAAATTTATTAGCATTATGTATCTTTGTATTGCAGAAACAGAAAAATTTTAACTTCCAGTTTATTAATTTTTTTATAAAAACCCGTATTTGGTACAGATCGCCATGAATTTCAATATTTTACAAATATGGTGAAAAGTGAGTCGTTTCTAAAAAAGACCCAATATGTTTCTGGCTTTGGGGCAAGCCTTTTTGTCTCTTTCAAACACCGTTACCACCAAAAAGACAACGAAAAACCTACTTCAACAATCACTTACAATATTTCAGATGCGAACTTTACTTTCTCGGCACAGTCCTGCGCAATCGTTGCCGTGATAGCACAGTCGACGGCGGCACTGCTCGGAACATTGGCGGTGTGCTGGAAACACCCGTTGGCGGCAACTGTTGCTGGCGTTTGTTCATTTGCAGCCGGTAGGTCTAGCACATTCGAATTTTAGTACAATCTTTCAAAGGCAAATGGCTAAATAAAAGTAGATATATAAATTTATTAAAAAGAAGTGAAAAATGATAATTCAGTTTTCCCTTATCGAGGTTTACTCTAAGACTGATAAAACATTTATTCAAACTTTGCTTTATCATCTTATCCACAGACCATTTCATACTATCCAGAACTGTTGAGAAAATTACGATATACATGTATAAACTCCCTTGAGTTGTAAGAGACCGATTTTACAGGCACCAGCCCCCATCTCGATTTCGAGAGTGGGTCACACATTAGAAATATGAGAAACTCAGGTCTAAGAGACACGTTTTATTGTGATAAGTGTTTTAGATAGGGTACACCGTATTTTTCAGAAAAGTGCTGTTCAGTAAAATTAATGTTTTGGTACTGTATATACATGTATACTGTATGAAAGTTAACGCATTGCGTGTATTTTATTGCCATAACAACATAAATCATGAAGTTAAATTGAGCCTTTTCCATTCTAGGGGTGTATTTCACATTTGCAGCAATATTAATGATGTTAAGGTGCCACCAAATGTCTTTCATTGCGGTAGAGGGCGTTCCAGAAGAGATATCCAACACGCGCCAGATCAAGTATGGCTGGTCTTTATCGACAGCCTGGGGAGCTATAACCGGATGTGCAATAACCGGTTTTCAGTGGGTTACCTTTTCCAGGCGGTTAATAAAAACTCTGAGTAATGGCAGAATATGATGTAAAGAACACGCATTATGGTAGCAACGTACTTATTATAACGTTGGATGTTGATATAACATGCCGGTGTTTATACCCGGAGAGTTTTTTAACACTTCGATTCTATTCACGCTTTTTTGTTATTTATTGAATGTTTAAAAAAATTAATAATTATTGGGACCGAAAGTTATACCACAAGAGAACATCTTTCCTTCTTATATTTTTCGAGCGTAGCTTAGCAAAACACGCACCATATACGCAAAGGGCGGATGTTGTTATGAATTGCACGTTTAAGTATTAATAAGTCGCTCTACAGTGATATGTGATTATTAAAATAGCATGCACTTCAAGAGTGGGTGGTAAGTGGTAATTATAACGGTACCATTAACATTAGGTGCGAGAAAAGTTGCGTATGACGCTCACTTTTCCAATAACCACGTTTCGATTTATGACCACTCGTGTCCTTTCATGCATAAGTTGATGTCTCGCATATTGATGCTGCTTCAGTATGGGTCAGGGGAGGCAATGGCCTTTCTGTCTAGGTCTCTAGTGTAGGGAACTAAATGTGATGAACGTGACTTTAATGATAAAAAATTCTGCATTGCCAATGAACATTTGATTAAGTAAAGTTGTTTTGTCTTGAAGAAAAATCTTGTGCTGGCCAAATGTCACAGATGGGGATTTTTTAGCTGACTTTTTTTTAAATATGTGTTCTAGTATCTACTTAATTGTCTATTGAAGTGTTCACCTAATGTCATTTTCTCAGTTCTTTGCAAGACAAAGAAGCGATGGCGTAAACTGCCGGTCTGTCTTTTTTATTTTATGATTTCCAAAATACATATAAACAAACAAAAAACATATACAAATGCAAATACTTCCAGTTTTACATACACACGGTTAATTGAAGGCTCAAGCTTACTATTATGGACGTCACGAAAGTAAAACATTGGTTTATGAACATTCGGTGTGAACAATGTCAATTTAGTAACGTCGGCAAACATAAAATGTTATTCTACCGCAAGCCCACTGTGAATATTACACATAACAAAGTTTAAAGAGTTTTGATTGATTTCTGAGATGCATGCCGAGAAACGTGATGACTAGTTACATATTTGAGAACAGATTAAGCTTTTCAGAATGTGGGCACCAAGGCAGTCGTATCTTGCGTGGCAATCATTAATGGATCCCCATAGTTCTTAGTGCCTGTTTGCATTTTAGTAACCTTGTCAACGCGACTGGGCTGGAACAGGCTGTTAACTAAAATAAATCGAAACCGTAGATGTCTGTTAAGTGTTTGGAATGGTTTTGACAGCCAGAAAGGCAAAGAAGATCGATTTATTTCGGGAATCTGCGACAACTAAACGCAAATTTTAACACAAAAGAAATTGATTACTGTTCCTTTAATTCACATCGGCGGTAGATTTTAGATTAACTAATCGAATGGCACACTGCGTGAAGTGGGTATATATTACTGGCGGCGCAAAATTGTATCCCACGTCAATTTCATAAACGATGACTCTGAGAGTAATATTATAACAGTAACGGCACAATGATTACGGGGGATGCATTCTTCACATGCCATTTATTACTGATAGTGCCTCCTCAAAGGACAAGTCCCAGGTGGGTGCGACGGTTACCGGGCCATCGGATCGATTTATTCATTCACATATAGGCAGTATGGATGTAAAACACAAACAGCACGCATCTTTACTGTGTTACGCCAGTCGGAATTGAAACACAGGATGCCAATTCGTCTTTTATGCTTCGCCAGTACGACCGGACATTAAGTTGCTGGTGAATTGTAAAGGCACCTGGAGTACGCTTGGTGATTTGATAAGATTAATAGGGTTAGGGATTTCTTTATCTGATGTCCCGTTGATCAAATTAGGACCACGATTTCCCTTGAATTGACTGTGCCATCATACATTTGTTGCATGAATATCAAGGAAAAAGGCAAGTTGGGATTTTTTTATGATGAAAGACAAGGAAAGACTTTTTTTCCGCAATCTTCGTTATCATTACCTCTAATCATCGAGTCTCTAAGTCCCAAAGCAGCAAAGAAATGAAGTCAACTATTGAATGAGACACCATGTTGAATAATTTGTATTTAGTTCTGAGCTCATTTTTTCTCGTTTTTTGTGCAACAGTATGTATCTACATAGCTTCATTCACGGATTACTGGGAAATTATAACATACGACAACGGAGTCTTCATAGCAAAAAATGCGACAAGCTATATAGTAGAAATCAATGAGGAATACACTAAAATTACGGATACTTCTGGGGCCTACCCGAACAATGGAACAGTAAGCTACGTTTATTCCCGACATGGAGGAATCTGGAAACTCTGTGATACTTTGTCCGGTAAGTATCTATTCAGGGTTTCTCTATTCATTAATTGATTTATCTATATATTAAATAATTGATTAATTTATTTATTTTTTGTATTTTTTGTATTTTTAAAGTATGATTTACTAAAATAGTTAATCACTAAGTAACGACCATGTTTTATCTATGCAGTCAAGCAGCTCGTTGTTTTCATCTCTAATATACTGAGATTTGTAAACAGTTTAGACATTTCTAGGTATATATTTATTGTAAAGATTAAAAGTTAAAAGTATTCCGAGATATTTGACAGATAAATAAGTTAAGAAGATGTAAGAATTTGGGTAGGATTACGGCTTGGTAGAAGGGTGTATACTTCTAGTGAATTGTATACATACATACATGCATGTGCATATTGATCTGTCAAGACGTGCATATGCAAAGATACTTTCGCCTGAAACATGCAATTATATTATTTTTTGAAAATGCAAAAAAAGACTGAAACTCGAAGCACTATCGTTTATGCTACAGTACAACCCAATAACAGTAGGTTCCGCTGCAATTAAATGATCGATAATAACTGTATTAAGGTCGACATGAAGGCGGACGATATTTTAGCAAATGTATTTCCATGGGAATACATTTCCAATAGGTTTACTTTAACGTTAAAGTCCGTAACCTGTTGGTTATTGCAAACGCTTCTTTTAGTCATAGTCTTATGAGAAAAGAAGCTTAATAAACCGGACTTTACTAAAGACTGACTGCATGTGCTCTTTCTTGAAAATCATTTAAATCTTTTTAAAATAATATTTGTGTCTCTTTTACATCAATGTGCTCTAGTTTTTTTTTTTTTTTTTTTTTTTTTGGGGGGGGGGGGGTATTCGAAAATGTACACATTTCAACAACATGCTACAACAAATACTCACAAACTCAACATGGATACCGGTTGATATTCAGTCGAATAATATGTCGCTGTTTGTCAAACAAGAAGGGGAATAGGGTGATATTCAACAAAAGTATTTCCTATTAAATTACAAATATTTCTGCTTCCTAGACATGTAAACACCATGACACCAACTGTCGCAACTAGTTATGTTTATTCCAGATAACAATCCTCCAACTCATCTTACAAAACGATGGAACACCTTTGGAACCAACTTTCCGGAAGGAAGAAAATATCGCCAGGCTTAAATTGGCCTTTGTTTCAAGAAATCAAACAATTAACCGTCTTTAAGCCATCAATAAGATCAATTTTGTGAAATTCATAAATTGCAAGTTTGAAGTTATCAGCCTGTTGGCGAAAAGACGAAAGGACTACAGCAATCTAAAAAGTTATCGGTATAAGAACATCAAAAATGTACAGTATTGTCTATGGACTTTTCATACATAATGGAATTTGAACCAATTTTTAGAGAGAAGAAAGAATAACGCACACATTGCCGTCAATGAAACTCAAATAAAACGGATTGCTGGTATTTGGCTTAAAATCTAAGTACTTATATGTACGCACTCTGCACTTGTAATCGATAAGTGTATTGTTGTTGAGTGAAAAGTGATGTAGTGTTAGGCAACGAGTTATTTCCTATTGTTTTGGTGCACATATACAATGGATCTTGAAGCAGTCTAAAATTCAGGTCTCAAAGCTTAAACAGAACTAAATAAAACATGTTGTAAATGGATTCCCCCATAGGGTTTAAAATCCAAGGATCAATATTCACTGGAAGCGTATCGCTTGACTGAAAAATAGCTGATACCCCGTTTGGAAAACATGCTTGTTTCTTCGATTAGTCTGGTGCATAATTTGTTCAGCGCTTCCATGCTTGCGGCACACGGCTAAACGCTTCATTTAGAAAGTCAAGGAGACATTAACTTTTCATGGAAGTCGTTACAGATTTGTGTTTATGAGATAATACAGCTTATGTCAATGCTTTGCTGAACACTGTTGTTGCTAGTGTCTTATGCTTTCGCGTTTTGCAACTGCAATGCATTTGCAAGCAAAGCAATGCGCGGAAACGCATTAAAGCACCTTCGCCATAAACCAGTTATAGCTACATAAAAAAAAACTTTTATGAATATTGATTAATATATAATAAAATGAAATAAATAAAAATAACAGCCTCTATTTTATTGCATCAACCTGCATCACTTTTGTTAAAATAGACGGTTTTTCTACAAGAAATATTCTGATAAGGCAGTTTATGGACGTTTTGTCGATACTTGTAGATTTGGACGCCAGAGGACGTGATTACGACATGGTCTGTGTTGTCATATATGCCCTGCTACCAAGGCGTTTAAGAAATATACCCCTGTATTGAAAAATGCATACTACATTATGCACCATTAAGTTATAACACCTGCGTATTTCATGTGGCCGTTTTATTATTATTATTTTTTGTTGCTAGTCTACATGATAACCAAGGGCATTGCTGCCGTGACGATTTTTCTGGTCCATTGTGGCACAGCAAATATGGGTCCAGGTGGCAGGTGGGGAGGGGTTGGAAGGGGGTACTTCAACTCATAAACCTCTTTTAACACCATGGCGATCAGAAAAGTACAAACGAAATAATTAAAACAATAAGATAAGATTATAATAGATAAAACTGTCCGTTCGATACGAAATTTATACTATTACACTGTACACCATTTTAATATTATAAGACTTATAAATATTTTGGCATAAGTCTATCAAAATGCCGTGTGTGTAGTTGATAGGGGAAAAAACAGTCGGAGGTGGCGTGATGGTAGCCTACATGTTTGTCTGCAAGAATGTGTTATATCGCATGCTTTTATACATGTAGGCCTATGTGTGTTTTGCAGGAAGGGGTCATATGGCGTAAAATAACTGGCATTGGGTGTCTGTTGGTATTAAGTAAACACGAAATAGAAAAAAAAAAGGTGGTAGCAGATCCTGTTCAAAAAGGCAGGAAATCTTAACTAAGTTGTACAAAACACGTGGTGACTGGCAAAACTTTTAGCTTAGTTCCTTGGAAATAAAAATGTAGAATTAAGATAACTTTGAGATCTTAGACTGCATTCAGATTCTCACATCGTACTAGCTGTGTCGGTCCAACTCTGCGGGGGATTCTCGCTAAAGTGCAATCAGTGCAATCAGCTTAAATAGATTAAGGCTCGTATAGGTGAATTATAGTTCTGTGTAGTATTCCGCAGAACTCGACCAAAATTAAAAGAAAGTTCTGGCAAACGCGCCTGGATTAAATTTTTTGACTGAAGCAAAGAAAAAGGTAAAGCTAATAATGAGTAAAGTGTCGCAAATGCAATGAAAATCCGTTTAGCCAATGGTTTCTTCCCTAACAGTTGAACTTGAGACCGAATACCAAAAGCGATAGGCTGCAGCATGGATGGTCCTTACCACTAAGCAGTTTGTTTTGACACCAATAATTCGGGGATATGCACTTGTTAACGGCACAGACAGATTATGCCACTTTGTATTGATCTTCTATGTGATAATTTGTTCCAGATGCTACTGTTGCAGAAATATGGGGTAATACCACCCATACAAGATGCTTGCAGCTGACCGACCTCGATTCTTCAAACGTTAGTAGTGAGGTTGAATGGCTTATGCGTACGTATTTTAAATTTTCATTTTATAGGCCATATTTTATTATTTCCATCGTGCACCTTTGACTTTTTTATGTTGCAAGGATGAGAGTTTTTAATGCAATTCCTCACGTAAAAAGATCTGCATCCGTGGACTGATTCTACAAAATAAAATATTGGGAGGGGTTGGGTTTACAAATCTACTGAATCTAATTGATAAGCTCTTCAGAATTAGCAGTAAAATGGAATGTAACAAAATAGATGTGGGCCCTATTTTAGAAGATTAATCACATTGTACGTTAGGGATCTACTTCTAGTTTTTAAAATATACATTTTCGTATGATTCAGGTATGCAAAACTCCTCTGCATCTTCCATTATAACTGCGTTGATAGTGATGGTTGCTGCGGTGGTGACAGGTATACTTGGGATTGCCTGCAGACAGGTTTCCTGTGTCACAGTCACGGGGATTATGTATGCTATTGCCGGTAGGTGGCCTAATGCCATTTTCGATGGAAACCATCCCTGTTCTCCTTACATTTTACCAATAGTTTTCACAATGCCACAGGCGTAGCAAAGGGAAAGGGGGTTCGCTCCAACTAAATTCCAAAACAAAACAAAAATTACCAAGATGACGGTTCTTGCTGATGGCGTGGAACCGCCAGAATGTTCAAAACAAAATAACTGTCTCAACTACATACATAGATAGAAGCAGTTTCTGATATTATCTATTCTAAACTTAATAAGAACACTTTTCTGTTTCTATTTTAGCTGTTTTCATTTGCCTGGCATTAGCAGTTTATCATGCAAAACTGAATAACGAAAACCCGCCATCGTGCAGCGACGTGACGCAGACGATTTCAGCAGACATTTGCAGTGCGCGTCACGTGACGCATAGCTGGTCCATTATTCTGGCATGGATAAGTTTTACGTTTAACATATTGGCTTCGGGTTGGTGGCTATACCTATCACGAGTTATAAGGATGGAGCTTATGAAGACAGTTAACATGTGAAATAAATCACTACGTACATATTTCAATGCTATTGGATTGTTTAACGGTTCACAAGAACGGCAAAGAAATAAGATGTGAACCGATATTGGTATGAGGCAGTTTACAGTTTACGACGATAAAATTATATATATTTGAAATCAAGTTGTTGGTCCAAAGTCAGACTGAAGCAGAATTTAAAACATGGGCTAATATTGTTTACATTTTCCGATATGTCCCAAGCCAGGCAGTAGTGGGCTGGTTTTGCGATTTTTAAATGGAACAGTTGCACCAGGTGAACCATGCACCACAGTTTCTGAACCATGGATGCAGTAGGCCTACTATTGATTTCATTGTTGATACATTTTTCTTTTTAACTCAGGTATTTCTTTTATATCAACTTATGATCACAAACATAAAGTTTTATACTTTCAATCTAAAAACTTTCTGGAAGCATATGAAAATACTCATGATACATGTATTGGAGTGAACATTTTATCATAGACGTGATGCAATATAGCCTAGTGTGTTGGACTCTTTGTTGATTGGAAGCCTAGAGCAAGGAATGGAGTTTGGGGCAGTTTATTTACAGAATGTTGGACGTTCAGAGACTATAGAAAAAGTAACCGATAAAGAATATTCTTAAAGGGAAAATAGTGATTTGCGAAGAATTTCTATTTACGATGTGGTAGTTGCGCTGCCAATTTCAGTGTTCCCAAACACAATCGTCACAACTGGTTCACCGGCAATCGCAAGAAGGATATAATTTTAGTCAAATAATATTTACAGGCTAATGTGCATTCTGCTTTGTCAGCTTTACCTAGTCTTGGACCCCTCGGACTTCATGTACTTGAGAAATGAATTGGAAAACTGGAATTCATTTTAAGCTACAGTACGGAAACGGAGCTAAGTATGATTCATAAATTGGCTGGTATGTTTAATACAAAGGCCTACTGTAGATAAATAAAACATTTTGCCCGATCATATAGTAGTGTTATTTAGCTTTACGTGTTTACAGTTTTTTTGGCTGTCTTTGCTTCTTCTGATACTACTTTTATTTATGTTTACGTAACTAAAAGCATATTAATATTGTAGCCAGATTTGACCATTTAAATGAAAGGAAGCAGCGTTAGCCATCTTTAGGCTCGATATCTACACATCCCCTTCCTCCTCACCCCATTGCTTGCATTATCGCCACTCCCGCACGCCTACGGATACTTTAACTCACAAATATCGGTTCTAACGTTTAAGTATCCCAAACCCTTCCACATTTTTAAGGAGCCATGCTGAAGTGGCCACTGAAACGGACAATCATGGGACTGCTAGAAGGAAACGTTTCTTTCGTTCAGGAGTAGACTGATGTTGGTTCTTGTGGATGATTAGTCTTATTGTCATATATTTGTTTTTCTATGTCTACGCAAAAATTTATACTAGTTTGAGAATTTAAACCTGTTTAGTGCGAATATCTGTAAATGTGGGCTCCTATTTTATTAATGAGAATCATCCAAGAAAGCCCAAAGTCTAGTAAATTAGCGTAAACGAAGTTTCGGAAACTTTGAAGGATATAGGGTTCATAAAAATGACAGACTAGCAGAACTTTGCGTTGCGGCAACGTAATAAAAGCAAACCGCAACACCGCTCCACCTTCAGTAGCTCCCTGCGCCAGAGGTCACACCCTGCACCACACCTGTCCCTGATCCTGGCAAAAAAGCGCTATAGTTTACACCCTATCTTGCTAGTTGACATTAAAATTAACCAAGCATCATACTGGAAATATCAGGAAAAAAATATTTTTCAGAGAACTATATTTGTCTTCCTTTCTTATTTTTCAATGCTTATTTATTATTTTCTTACTTTTATTCCCACTCCTAGCTCACTGCTATGCTGACTTACACTTGGTATGGCCTACACCTAGGCTACTCCTGGCGACTTTGTGTCTGTCGGCACCGAAGATTGCTTCGTAACCCAACAACGAGGAGACAGTGACCACTCCATTACCTGGTTTATACCTGTACTCTTTATATTGAAATTTAAATATTTCAAACACACGCAAATAAAAAATGGAGTGTCAACGTCCGAAATGAACCCAACTCATTTGGTTTTGAAATCCAACGCCGTTACACTCTGTGCCATCAAATACTTCACGATGACGATAGCGTATGTTTACCTGTACTCACTATCCCTCACAGATAATCCAAATTTTCCTAAACATGGGTCGCTTTATAGATGGTAGAGATGTAGAGTGGTTATATTACGTTTTTATGAAGATATGTGAAAGCAACATTACGTTGAACAGCATCAGCAACTACCTGAACTGACTTCTTTTAAAAAACATAATATTTATACATAGATGTTTTTGACGATCGAGCAATGCTTTCTAAATAAATTAAATGTCATGTATTATAGCAGGACCCGTTATCATCCATCATTTCCATGCACACTATGTTTGAAATTTATAGACAGAAGGCTGATGCTGTTTGGACGCCAAACACACGTATCGATCAAACTCGCTTTAGAAAGTAAAAATGAATAAATAAATAAAACTGTGTAAACGGAAGCAGACCAAATTAAATGGTGGATCATAAATTGTTTCTTTGCAGGTTTGAAATATTCATCGATGCATTGTTTTGTTTCGATATGACTCTCCTGTCTACACATTATTTTCATCCGTTCTTTACAGGGGTGGATACAGGATTATTTGAAGGGGGGTCAGCGGATGTGGCGTGGGGTGCGGGGCCCCCAAAAATGGTATTTTAGAGGGTGAACGGTGCCATTTAGTACGGTTAAGAACTATGATACAGTTAGCCAAAATTCTAATTTCAAGAGGCGACCATTGATGTGATTTATTTCAGAAATCGAAGGGAGGGTCAGGACCCCCCTGACCCCCCCCCCCCCCCATATCCGCCACTGCTGTGACCTCAATTTTCGGTAAGCTAGATGTACCAATAGAGGGTATTCCATCACAATGAGATGTAGCGGGTTACTGAGGTTAAATTAGATAAGTAGTGGTTGACATTATTGATAAGGCACTGTGTAAATAATCAGTAACGTATATATTGGTTAATTATTGTTTTGTTTCTAATATAGAAGCGTCTCTGTGTCGTTTTTCTTAACAGGGTAAAATCAAATGAGAAGAAATATTTACGATTTAGATAATGTTTATTTGCGAGTTTCAAAGGGTTCACTGCACTTACTGACATATTGATTTCTCGTGGGCATGTATAAGGGGTGCTTAGTTAAAGAAATTCTATACGGACTTTTCGCGCAAAATCTCATTTTTCTTTGATAGAAAAAGTAATTATTGCCTAATCCATTTCTTTACTTGAATTCCATGTTTTCACTATTTCTATTCAAATAATTTTCTCTAAGCAAATCATTATTATCTAAATTAGACAATCATGTTTTCCTGAGATTTCAGAAGTCATAAAGTTTTATATGCGGATGAGGGTCTGAATTGGGAAAGATAAAAGCTTTGCAGGTTAATTATACAAATATGAATTTGGGACAATTCTAAACGCATAAACTGTAGTATAAGTAATCAAGTTAATCCTTTTCAATGTAATTCATATATGATCAGATTTTACACAAAAATATGTTACTAGTTCACGAACAGCGCATAGTCATGATTTTAAGTCCGAGACCAACGAAATCAAAACCTGATTGCAATGGGTAATGTACATGTAATTTACCACCAAAAGATGTTTTTAACTTTTCTAACACGTGGGTATTAGAAGGTGAAAAGACCAACGCACCAGAAATTATGAGTTCACACGATTTAGTCGACTTCCAGATTTAAAAAAAATTAATTCCATATTATGTTCGTCCATTTCATTTCGCAGTGATGACCTTGGATGAATGCCTGCTTTTGTTTATGTGCACTCAACCTGACAACGGAAATCTGATTTCTGAGGACATTGAAGGATCACACGATGTTGACTGTTTTTTCATCATTTAGCGAAGGGCTATTTTTTGCTTGTTTTGTGGCTTTTTTTGCCAAGGGCTGTATCGAATAAAAAAGAACAAGAAAAAAACAAAAAAAAAAACATAAAAGCACCACTGCGTACGTACGGTTCAAATTAATTGAAAATCGTACGTTAGTAACGCCACTTTAGCACCCGCCCCTTGACTTGCCCGGATTTTGCACAAACATACTTACATGTAAGGTGATAATCCACGATAACTCCCCAGTCCCAAGAAAAAGTTCAACAAGATGGCTGTCGAAGTTGCGAGATGTGTGCTTGGCTGTCTCTTTCTGTTTCATTTGGCGACTGCCTATGAACAGCTAGTGGTTTCTGACTGCTGTAAGTTTGTTTTGTTGACCAAATATTTTAGTCCATGTTGTGTAGTCGGCAGTAAACTATTTGTACTGAACATATATTAGGTGAAATTAGTTCAGTTGTTACTGTAGGTCGTTCACGAGTAGATACATGTACACTGTAAGTAAATCAAGTGATTGTGTGAATAGGCATCAACTATTCTTAATGTTTAGTTAAAATCTTGATCTCAGAGGGATAACAACTTTTCGTTTTGGTAAGAAAAGTTACTAATGGTTAATGAATCCATTTCGACATTCAAAGTCAGTCCTTTTTTTCTAAAAAGTTTTTTCTTAAGAGTCTTTGAAGGTCCACGTGGTCTGAAGGAAAGCTCAAATTCAGAATAATTTTGGTGATAAAATGGAGTTTATAATATTTCTATGAGTTGTTTACACTGTATTTATTTTGAAACATGAATCTCATAAAAACAACTGTTATCCCTTTGATGAACACCATGGCCATACTGTCTTTTTGATTTGATATTTTCTCCAGCTGTGAAATATGTTTAATTTTACCAGCTAAAAATGCGAACCATCCTTTGAAGTTGGTAAATGTGGACTTCAGTCCGATGCCAATAAGTATGCCAGGCACGATGAGAGTGTCCTTCAATGCTAAGGCGTTAAGAGACCTCACCTCCTCTAAAATAAGCCTTTCAATATACCGGGAAACCTGGCTTATGAACATCCCTGTACCGTGTATTAGGAATATCGGTTCTTGGTGAGTCTATCTTTATTTATTTTCTTTTCTTTCTGTCTCATAGAAACACCTACCGATTTTCATAAATTTGTTTTTTATTCCAATGAAGAGCCTTGAAACATTTTCTGCTGGTAGATTTCCTACTTAATTGACATATTGAAGAATAATCCAACAAAATTGTTTCGTTGAATGCGTCCAGCGACTATGACGACTCGTGTGTCGTTTTGGAACAAATGATAGAAGAAGACTGGCTGGGCATTAGTAAAATGATGGGTCAACAGATAAAGAAAATGGTAGAAGACGCAGGAAAGTCAACTGCCTGTCCGTTGCGTGCCACAGATATAGAAGTTCGCGACTTTGAGTTTCGTCTTCCACATATTCCAAAGCCATTGCTTTTCTTGGCAGGGGTAAGTTGAAATTGCGTATTTTTCATTTTAGGATCTATATCTATGTATCGATAGTATAATAATGATTATTTGAATAAATCTATTCTAGGGAGTCTGCGATGCAGGCCTTATCTTTTTGTTTGATGTCGGAAATATTGAATTGAAGTAAGGCCCGCCTGTATATATGACACGTAGAGAAAATATTGTGCAAAATAGAGGACAGCGACTATAGGCAATGTGTCAGAGTGATCTGGTACTTAGAATGGGACGGCGAAAGTAGAACAATGCAAATCAAAACAAATCCAGTTCAACACTACATATTTTTTTCTAAATTACCGACAGCAACATTATAGATAAAATTCGCATTCATCATATGACAAACCGCTCAGATCAGAAACGGAAATGAAATATACAAACGCTATTCATAGATCAACTTGTATATCCACTCAGTTGCATATAATTAAAAATTTTGATGACAGTAGGCCTATGATATCATTACCTTCCCGGATATACCGTAGGCCTACATGTAGTTAGTAGCTTAAGAACTTAAAAAATTGTTCTTTATCTAATAATATCTCTCTATATACATGTATATCAATAATAAAATGAATAAATAAAACTTATAATAGAACAAATAAATAAAAAATATATTAAAAATGGTAATGATAATAATTCTAAATCAAAACGTACGTTTTAGAATATATTAAAGGAAAAATAAATATTTTTCTATTTATCTGTTCGAAAGAACAATATGGAACATCAGGATTTCAAAGTGCAATTGTACAGTTCTACATGCATTTAGTCTATCTTTCTTCTTGATAACAAGGTGCCTGCATATCATAGAGATAACAAGACTATTTGAAGTTGAGACCAGCTAAGCTGATTCCAAACTCACACTTAATTCTGTTGGCTACTTAATTAATTTCCTTTGGGAATATCAAAAGAGATTAAGATAAAGACGAGTGATTTGGAATTACCTTCTTTGTCTTAATTTCTCGAACCACTTACGGAAAGATAAACTGGCCTCAACTGAATTACAGTATATCTACAAGAAAGTACCGTACAGAACATCCTATGCTGACGATGAATTTGCATTACAGCAAGATGGCAATGTTAAATGCACTTGCGTATCAATATCTTTTAATACAATCTTACACATCATTTTTTATTTCCACAGGGCGACTACAAAGTGCGCGTGATTGTCACCGAGAATGCAAGTGGCGAGGAACTGATGTGCACCGATTTGAAAATGTCGCTAAATTGATCCCAACAGCAGCAGATTTCCGATTGACCAAGGCAGTGCGTGCATGCTTTGTTCAATTTGAATGTAACCACACTGCTCCCGAACACTTTGTTATCTTCACCGTGTATATTTAGTGATCCAAAGTGATTTGTCAATTAGAACTATTTTTTTTTATTTAAAAGTCAATTTCTTTTTGCATTTGTGATTAAAACAAGGACGATAACACTTGTTTGGAGACTTAATTTGGGAGACAAGGAATAACAGCTTCAATTCGGGACTCGGATGTGAACCAAAATTTGTTTCTGAGAGATTTACCATTATGAAATAAAACTGATCGCCAAAACAAAGTTAATATCATTTGCATAAATCTACTGGTGTAGGGGAAAAACGATCGCTTGTAAGCTACATGTACTAAGAATACATTTGCTTTGTGGTTTCCACTTGTAATTTGTGAACATTTACCGTAAAATCTGTTATTGTCTCCTTCCCCCTCACCCTCTTCTTAATATGCTCGATCTGTCAGAGTTTAAAATGGATATTGGATTACATGCCCAGAACATTGCAGTTAGTGTCGTCTGTAGTAACACAAATTCTGCAAATGAACAGATTTTGATCTTGTGGACTCTGTAGCCCTGATAATGAGTGTATTGCCAGGGCTATCAAGACTAGGGCTCAAAAAGATAATATTTTGCTTCCCCGCCATACCTTGTTCCATCTCAATTGCCAAATTTCAATTGATAAAGATATTCGAATTTTAAAAAGTTCAGATTCACGGTATACAATGTATGTGGGCCTACAGTGTATGTGTTTCAAGAAATCGTTTTCCACTGTCGGACATGTACCATCTTTTTTTCTATGGAACGTATACCATGTTTTCAATATGAAAAATACCCACCTAATGCATTCATGTTCAATATTTCTACGCAGTTTGAAACCGTTGTTGAATGCGTTGTTGATCGTGCTTCTCTAACACATTATGGACTCTGCAAAAGCCATGGTCGCAGTCATTCTGAGCAATGTACTGTATACAACATGCATAATAATAGGTCACTGTGGTGAGAGAGAGTGAGAGAGAGAGAGAGAGAGAGATGTTGCGAGAAAACGACTACTGTTCTCTGAAAGGCTATCCACTCGTTCTCAATATATAGGTCCATTTGAAGGAAACAGAAAGAAGAAAAATTAAGTTAAAGATACATGTTTAGTCCCAAATTCTATCGTTTCTAAATCACTGGTGACAAAAAGTGACAAATCTGTTTCTTTTTTTAAAATGAATTATTGGATTTTTTAAATTCATGTCTTGCTAGTACGGGGACGAAGTAACGCAGGTTAATAGTATTTTGGTAACGACAGTTTAAAAAATAACAACTCTTTTGGATAATATTCGCACTTTTATTAGTACTAACAAAAATTAGACTGTTAAAGGGTTATTACGAGATGCACGTTTATTTTACTGACACATTTTGTCCTCAAATACAGCATATTTTTCACGATGCCCGGTAACGAAGGCTTTGCAAATTAAGGGGATGCAGTTTTGCCGTGTTTCGTGTAAAATATTTTACTGAGCCCTGTCACCATATTCTTTTGCTAATAATGGATAAAACAAATTAAATTGTTTAAAGGTTAAAACATTACAATAGAAAAGAAATAAACCTCAAACAACTAAAAATAATGACGTGTGCCAAAAGATGTAACAAAGCTTTTTTTAACTTTCAAAATCCGGCGACACCATGAACGTAGCCGCAAGCTATTTACTGAATTATTTAAAATAGACATTCAAGACTTTAGACACCATTCGCGCTTCCCGAAAAGTTGCGAATTTTCTATTTTAGTAAAAATGAACTAGATTGATTGAAGAATGTGAGATGGTGCTGCGAGTGACAGTAACAAAGGTTTACAGTTTACGGTCGTTTATGTTTTTGTGTAAAATCAGATAAATCTAGTAATTATTATTTTTTATTTTTTAAGTTGTTAGACTGATGTTCTTTAATTTCCAGTTTTTCTATCCTGACTGAACGAATATTTTGAACCGGACTAACACATCTATTGCAATACAATAATTTTGTTGGATTTATAGGATAGAGGTTATATTGGCATTTAGGGTCTTTTGCAATTTATCAGTTGATCGGAATCTTCCAAGATAACCAAAAAGTTTAACGACTCAGCGTAATACGAAACAAGATTTCACAGAATTTGCAGGAGAGTCACCAATAATAGCAGACAAAAGAATGCGGTCCAGTAAAGAATTAAATCTACCAAAATTTTATCCAACGGGTATCTTTTTGACTGCATTGTCTTTAGGTTTGTATAATTACATTATTTTGTACAATAGTATGAATTTACCGTGTTTGGAATGTTACTTTCATATTGTTTCCTAGCAGTGGCGGATTTAAAGGGGGTGTCAGGGAGTTCTGACCCCCCTTCGATTTCCGAAAAAAGCTGAATCATAACTCTAAACCGTACCAAATGACACCGTTCAACCTCTAAAATACCAAAATTTCAGCCCCGAATCCCATGCTAAGGGGGGGGGGAGGGGGGGGGGGCAGCTGGCGAGGGGCGGCTTCGCATCCGCGGCCTGTCATTCCTAAAAACCGTTCCCCCTTCAAATAATTCTGGATCCACCCTTGGGTAGGATGACATTCCAGGCGAATAAGATTTCATCCTTACTGCTTAAAGGTAGCCACACCTCAAGCGGCTCCTAGCACATTTTCTAGCCTCGTATGACGTCACACAGTTGTAATTAAGAGCGATTTGTAATTAAGAGTACTACTTCAAGGTCGGGAACTTGTTTACGTCCGGAATTCAAAACTGATCTAGAAAGCGTATCTTCTTTCATGAAAACGCACCGTTTATCACGTTCCGTTATTTTGCTATAAGACACAGGAAATACTTGATGTCAACTCTTAATTCAAACTGCACTTTCCAATTATATTTGACATAAACATTTCAATGGTGCAGAAGAACTAAAAAGATGTCCTGAAGGAAGCAAGACATTTTAGATTTTGCACCGAAAGATTCACGTTTTGCGGGATATGCAGTGCAGGTACTGATAGCAAACCCTGAAATGATAAAAGGGTATTTAAAATATATTCTTCACATTTAATGTCAAATTATGATTCTGTAAAATGAATACTTTGCTGAATTAGGTTTTTGTACTTTTAACCTTAGGCACAATATATATTAAAAGCATACGTTTCCTCTACTCGGATTTTTGTTTTTTCTGATTATTAATAAAATGATTTAGGCCTACGCATCGTATGAGATCATTAGAGGATTAAAAAAGACATGTTGATCTTCATTTCACAAAAAAAAAAAAAAAAAAAAAAAAAAAAAAAAAAAAAAAAAAAAAAAAAAAAAAAAAAAAAAAAAAAAATTGGAAAATCGGGTACGAGCATATCCCGCCTTCTTGGGAGTGTCTTTTCAGCGAGATAAGGAAGTCACCAGTACATACGGTACACCATCAACCTTGTAAACGCACCCACTTTACACAATACACGTACGTCTTAACAATAAATTAAAATCCTACATTACGTAGTTTTTGCTTCCATTTAAGGTTTAAAAAAATATCAATTTGAACACGTTTTGATACGAACACTACAAAACAGCTGTGTCGACTTTCTTTCTGATTTGATGTGCGTAAATGTTTGGTTTTATTAACTTTCAGAGTATTAAACAGCAGCAGGTTCTGAGAATAAGTAGTTTTCATCTAATGCATGCTACAATATTTTCCAGACAGTCCACATAGTGCCTGAAACGTTTGTTTTTCTCCTTATCACAAAGCCCTACAAGATTCTAGGTACAAGTACATAGACATCTGTCATTTCCTCTGAACATTTAACAATTTGTGCTTAGTCTACAGTGATTAGTACAGTTTTTCCAGTCATTCTACATAAAGAGACGTCCAAACCCCTTCCAGTAGCGATCTCCCCCCGCATTACCCACAAGGACGCGTGACTCCAAAGTGACGGGTTTGGGTGCACTTGATCGGACACTGAAGCTGCACGTTTCCATCTTGCTCTGCTTTACATTGCCCATAATGAAGAACCGCGCCGTTGCAGTGACTTTACCAGCGACGTCGTAGGTAACTGCCAAGTGATCTTGGCGGCAGTATCGTCCAAACTGAGCCCCTGTACTGACACGATGATATTCCGGTCTCCCTCTCGTAATGTGCCCCCAGTTGTCTTCCAGACTGCAATAAACATATCAAGAATGTAAGCATGTGGTTTTGTATCGTTTGTATGAACTTAGTTTGTGGCGCCTTTTTTATGTTCTCAAATCCTTAATATGCATAGAATTAAATGAGGTTACTTGTCTCCAAGCGATGCACTCACACAGGAGGAAAGGTAACAAGTGTTGTCTATATTTTGTTGAAAAGAGGAATTAGAATGGTCTTTGCAAATTAAAATAAAGTGGAATATCCTATATGAGCGATGTGATTGTACTCATGCTTGTGAGAGCTACATGTAGAATATGTGTGTTTTCGAGCAATTAATGCTGTTTCAGTTAAATTACAAGTTCCTTATATATATATATATATATATATATATATATAACAGTAGGGTTCTAATTCTGTCAAGAATGTACCCATATACATTTAAAAATCAATCGGCGCAGGATTTGTAAGGAGAGCAGGAATTTATACATTGCCTCAAACTGACCTTTGATAAAACAATTGCAACTAATTGGTAACTACTAGTACATTAAATAAATAATAAGCATTATATGCTACATAATTATATTTATCATATAAAATTTAAAATAGGCTACTCACGTCACGTGAACAGACCCCGATATGTCCTCAGTCCCTTGCATGTTGTCGACTGTATAGTTCCAGCAGCTGGATATCTTGACCAAGGCGTCTGTCACGGCATCTGTAGGGCACTCAATAACGCCAGCAACGTGTATGTCAGCGGCAGGCTTGGCTTTGGAAAAGCTCACAAAAATTAGGCCAACTAGGCATGCAAATATCCAAGACATCCACATGATATAAACCAGTTGTTCTTATAGGTTTATTCCTTTAACTATGACTGCTTAGATTGTTGTTGTTTTCTATTCATTTGTAGGCCTACCTATGAGTTTAAATAAGGACTGTCAGCATCTAGATTCACGTGCGATTTTGCTGAAACCCATGCGGCTCCGTGTGTGGGCATTGTGGTTTATTTGCATTTTGGAATTTGGACTCTTCTGACGGGCTCTCTTATAAAAACGGAAACTTTATTATGGCCGCTTACGTGATACGTGTGCTTCAATGAGAATATATTTAATAGTAAAGTGAAGGAAACTGGTCTTCCTCCAAAGTTCTGACTACGGAAAATATCACAGGACCAGCTACAAGAAAAATTAATATATAAATGATATAAAAATTTAATTGCTTGCCTTTGAATAAATACCATATTAATACACACAAAAAAAGCGACAGTAGAGGACGTTTTATAAATATTTTAAAGAGATGTCGCGACTAAGGAATGATAAAATCTTACAATTCCAAATTGTCATATAGGGCCTATAGATCTACGGTAGATACAAGAAGAAAGTTTTACGAAATAAATAAATAGCCTAAATAAATAAATAAATAAATAAATAAATAAATAAATAAATAAAAGAGATAAAAAAGTTAACGGTTAAATTACCATTAATTAAAAGATAAGCTTTGAAGACCATTACAGTGGCGGATTATTGGGGGTGCCAGGGGGGTCCTGACCCCCATTAGATTAAAAAAATAATAATAATAACAAGAATAGTCCCCTCTTGAAATAAGAATTTTGACTACCTGGATCATAGGTCTAAACCGTACCAAATGGCATCGTTTGCCCTCTAAATACCAAAATTTTCGGGGCCCTGCAGTGGGCCCCGCACCCCACGTCAAGGGGCGAGGGAGGGTCCGCTTCGCATCAATTTCTTTCACATTAGCTTAGGGAATTCCAAACCTCGATCTCGAGTTTTATTAAATGAACTAGGTCGAGCTATTTATAGCACTACGCCATATTCTACTTTCGGTGAAGGCCGCGGACTTTGACTGTCAATGCAGGTGTTTTAGCAGACCGATGAAAAGATGGCAAGTCCGGCGTCAGTCGAGGTGGACGTAGTCGTTGTAGGAGCAGGGTTGTCTGGGCTTAGTGCAGCGTATGAACTGACAAAAAGAGACCCCAGTCTTCGCGTGGCTGTGCTGGAAGCAAAAGGTAGGTCTCTTCATCTCTGACTTTCTCGCCATTTGTCAACATGATTTTCGGGTTTAGGCCCGGTCAGGGGGTTTAAACGAATGCAAAACGTGTAACTTGCTTCCTGTGAAATGCCCTTGGCACACAGCTATCACGTATATACAAGCACATTTCTAGAGATTTGTTTTCCTGGTAACCAATACAAATATCGTGCACATATCCTGTGAGACGATAATGGAAATGTTATTTTCTCGGGTTACTTAAAATACAGTTTAATGTCACCTTTAATAGCGAATGTGTATGTTTTAAAGCACGTACGTTCTCAGCGTGTACAGAAAGTCTTTAAAAGATTGAATGGTTTCGGATGTCGGAGGGACATTCAATGTCTTAAAAGGGGGAGGGGTCTAGTGCATGGACAAAGTCGCAGACATTAATCAAAGTGCCTAAATAAAAAATGGCACCAGAAGCTGTCAAGTTCTTATGAATTCCTGTAAAAATTTATTATTTTTTAGAAAAAGAAAATTTCATGTAAGACTCATAATTGAAAGTGAAGTTGAAACGTCATTCTTAAAATGCATACAAGTATTTATGTCAAGTTTAATATTTATCTATAATTGTTCCATTAGATAGGGTTGGTGGTCGCACTTTAACAACAACATTAAAAGCAGCAGGAGGAGAAGATGTATGGGATCTTGGTGGACAGTGGGTAGGAAGGTATGTGTATGTGGCAAGATAAGCTTTGAAGACCGTTTGTTTCTATACGTACTAAACCTAGTACCTAATTATGTGACTCATGCGCATGCAGTATTTAAAAATTGAGTTCTGGATTTTGGGATCATAAATAAATGAGAAAAAAAAATATATAAATCAATAAATAAATAAAAAGAAATTGAATCATCATATCTACCATTTTTGTGGCCTGATGGTTGTATTGCACACAAATCACTCAGAAAGAAATTGTGTAATCATGTTTATTACTTGAAATTATTTGTTTATATTAGATATGTATAACTTTAAGGACTTTTATGTTCTTTAATTTAGAAGGCTGCAAAATTACGATATAATTGAAATTCTGCATTGTATAATTGCTGCCAACAGTGGATTTTTTTCATAGTGTCAAAAAGAAATTAGTAAAACATCTGTTTGTCCATGTACCGGGTACAGTGTTAACAGCATATTAGCCAGGAAACAACTACTTTCACTTGGTAGTGTGTAACTACCCTTACTGACAAAATACGGTTCCGGCAATGGTTGCAGGAGTACTCCAGCTGTTCTTGGGGAGTACTGCTTTAACACTTACTAGTCCAGAAGGGTACCTTAGTGGCAGTGTACTGTTAAATAATTCTGTATTCATTAAGATCCTTGATATTTGAATGTGTTCACCTGCAAAATAAGTATAAAAAACAGCTTAATCTTGCAAATATGTAAATAAGCAGTAAATAATTGTAATGATTGATACAAGTGTATATATACATGTACATTTGTTTTATTTCATCCATCCTGTAACTTGGTTAATGTTTTAAATGTGATAAACGAAAAAAAAACTAACAACTTTGAAAATTGGTTTAATGTCATGATTCAATGAATATTCAGAATGAAAATATATATATTGCAGGACTCAGGTTCACATAATGGCGCTGTTACAAGAGCTGGGCCTTGAGGTGTATAGTCAGTACAACAAAGGAAAGAAGTACATGAAGCTCGGAAACAACAAAATTAAAACATATGTCTCAGACATCCCAACACTACCCATTTGGGCATTATTAGATCTTCATTTTTTTCTGAAAAAGGTAACGGAAGTTCTTGTATTTTAGAATGGATGTGCACAGACGCTATCAATGTATATTATCTTGTGTAGATAAAAAGAATTTTTTCCAAGTGTTGGAGACTTGTTTTGAATTAATAGGTTTGAATGTAAACATTTTGATTTTTGTTTGCTTTTACTTTTCTTTGTAGTCCTCTCAATATATGGTGGAGGTGAGGGCGTATATTGAGCTACAATTATAATTGATTTTAAAAGAAATCACCTGCATGCTGTAATGAAGACAGCCAGTAACCTTTTTTTTTTATATTTTAGATAGATCATATGAGTACCAAAGTTCCAATTGAAGACCCATATAAATGTCAGTATGCTGAGGAATGGGATAGTGTTACTGTAGAAGATTTTAAACAAGAACATTGTTGGACAAAAGGTGAGTTTATATATATGTATATGTATATATATCATTGATAGCATTAGACCACGGTGGAAGTGAAGAACAAAAGATTCAGACGTGGTGTAATTCGCATAACCGCACATCTCGCATGAATGTGTTATAACCCACTAATGGACCCGTGGTCTAAATAAGATAGACCCCGAGTCAGCGAGGGTTATGTGACATCCACTCGTGCTTAGCACTCGTGTATGCCACATAACCCTCGCTGACTCGGGGTCTATCTATTACTTAAACGAATGATTCTTTTTGTAACAAAAAACCTTAGAATAATGGTTATTTTCCCCAGATTTGTCATCTCATAATTTAATGTATATCTGCTACACAGTGTCCTTAAAAAATTTATTAAACATTTCAATCATTAGTTAGGAATTTCAAGTAAATAGAATGCATTCCATATCCTTACTTTTTTTGGGTAAAGTAATAATTATATTTTCACTTGTTATGCTGTATTTTACGAATTAGTTAAAAGTTAACAGGATTATTTTACCAGCTGCTATGGAAGCCATAGATTGTGCAGTCTTAGTGATGTTTGGAGTGGACTGCTCTCAGATATCTTTGCTGTATTTTCTGGCATACAATAATGCTGCTGGTGGGATTAAAGCTCTAACAGAGTCCTCTGAAGGCGCAGGGCAGGAATTCAAAGTTAAGGTAGAGAACAATGGTGGAGGTCTTAAAAGATATTTATTCAGAAGTTTTTTTCACCTGCCAAAACTCCAATTATCCCTATCAGTAAATGTTGCTACTGGTACTACTGAGTACATATGTTGTTATTACTGGCCAGTCTGAAAAACTTGACTAGCTAGCAAGGAAAATTGCAATCCTTTTATTATAGTGATTTACCACTGAAAATAACCTTTAGCTCATATGTCTTTATATAATCTTATTGTCCAAAATGCACTTAATTCATTACATTAATGATTTTCTTTAACTGGCTACACTATTTCCAACACTATTGATATTGCCTAATTCAAAGAACTAGATTGGTACATTAGTGAATTTTTTTACATCTACATGGCATCATTTTGTTTTATTTATAATATATTTAATTTGTGATTGATTTTTCTGAAAATAAATAAAAAATTGAACATGCTTTGTGAAAAAATTAAATTTACTCTTTTAGGGTGGAACTCAACAGATATCTCAATTATTGGCTGAAAAAGTTGGAAAGCAAAATATTTATTTAAATAACCCTGTAATGACAGTGACCCAAGTAAGTTGATATCATTATGTCCATATACAAAAGGATCACATGCTTCCTATCGAAGATTTCTACATTTAAACCTAAAGATACGAAATGATTGCTAACACAAAAATGTGTCGCTATGGACTTTTCTTTGCTAAATATTTTACAAGAGAAGCCTTGTTTTAAAAGAAAATTGCTGTAAATGGGGTATGCAAAAATGTTATAAATTTTTAAAAATGTGGATTGCTGATTATAGGTGTTTTAATTTGGCATCAGCTCTCTTGCTAAGGAAATGATGTGTCAAATTCTGTTTATGTTTATTTTGAAGGATGACACACAAGTACTTATAACCACAACTACAGGGGACGTTTTCAGGTGCTCCAGAGCAATTTTTACAACAATGCCTCAACAAACAGGTGACGTATATACTGGTAAACTGGTTCACATACTGGGAAAAACAGTGTTCGCTTTAGTATCATATTTTTTGAAGTGACATGACTTCAAATTTTACCCAAAATATTTTTTCTGTGTTTATAGAAAAGCTGAATGTTGTGTTTAATTTCTAGTATATATATGGAGAGGAATGTTAGTAATTTTGCTAGGATGAACTTTTGAGTAAATCTCTCTGAAAATACTAATGCTGATGTAACAAGCTTATGTTCTTTTGTATTAACTAGTTCAGTGAAATATTTACATATATACTGTAATATTGTTTTTTTTTATTGAATATCAACACTGGCAAAAAACAAAACAATGCGGGGATGGGATTACTTTTGAATATGGAATGTTAAAGTTTTGAGGAGCTTTCTTGTTCTTTCATTACTTAGGTTGATAATGAAAGTACATGATTGTATGCTAAATATAATTGTGTTAAAAGGCATTTTGTAGTACCTGCGGTATAACCAGTACCTGTCAGTGGATGAATTAAGGTTTTTTTCCTTAAATATTTGACCTTTTGGATAAATATGAAATGTTTTTTTTTTTAGCCTCAGTGCAGTTCAATCCAAGTTTGCCTCTTGAAAAACTGGAACTGTTCAAGAGAATGCCAGCTGGTTGTATTGTGAAGTTCATTATTACTTATCAAAATGTATGTTTTACTTTTGTATTAAGATGCATATACATGTAACAGTGACTTTTTCCCTTTAAAAACTCTCAAAACTTTATAATTATAGAATATATATAGTTACTATATTGGACCATTAGATTAATTAGCAGAGGTCAAAAGTTGTGAGAAAAATTAACCCGATACATTTTTGTTCACACACTAGAACATGTACTCTAATGAGTCAAATGTCATCAGTAAATGTTTACCAGACATGTGAAACATGGAGTCTCATCATGACTTTTTCATACCATTTTAATCAGTCTTGGCCATGAATTATCAATTAAGTCCTGATACTGCTATTACATGTAAGTGGCTCGTAAATAATCCATATTCAGTCAATTTCTAGCCTCGAATTAATGCTTTGTGTGCTCAGCCCCAGAAATTTCTGCCATTTAGTTGATTATTAATAAATAAATAAATATACATTGTGTAATTGTTTACCTATTATTTGGTATTTTGTCCGTTAGACTTTTTGGCGGGATGCAGGTTTCTCTGGGGAGATCGTAACATGTGGCAGAACTAAAACAGGAGAAGATGGCCCCCTGGGGGTGGTGTTTGATGCAACCTCTCCAAATGGGAATCCTGCTTTGGTTGGCTTTGTGGCAGCCAAACAGGCAGTTAAATGGAGCTGTGATGAAGTATGTACTTGCTTTGTATGCTTATAAAGAAGTTTGACTCATGATATTTTGTAGCGTAATTTATTTAAGGATTCAACTCTCTAAATATAAATTTAATTTTTAAATTCATTAATGATATGTGGATATACATGTACGTGCATGCATATGTACACCTGCAGTGAATTTTTAAGCAGAGAGAAACACAGTGTATATGCTTGAATAAACTGCAAGGTTTTGATAGAGGTTATGTTAGTATACATGTACATAGCAAATTGTTGATGCAAGTAGCTATATATTACAGCAGCGCATATTTTGCATCCTTTTTTTTTTAAACAGCATGACCCTGCCCCCCTTTTATTTCAGCACTTGATCCAGTGGTACATGTAGTTATGATTCTGCTTATTTTTTGTCAGGCATCAAAGAGAAAGGCAGCAGTGCTGTCTGGCATTGCAGAGTTCTTAGGTCCCCAAGCTGAGGAATGCCTGGACTATGTAGAACAGAATTGGGGAGAGGAGCCTTACACTTTGGGTGGACCCGTATCCCCAGCTACTACAGGATGCATGGCCTATTTTACTGCAGGCCTAAGGCAACCATTTAATAGGTTAAAAATAGTTACTATTGAGTAAAGTTTACTACCAGTAGTAGTATCATTCTTGCTAGAATGTGCATCTAAGGGAACTTTCTGATATTTTTAGAATTGCCTGTAGCATAAATTAGGCAAGGATTTCTGAATTTTCCATTTGAAAAATTTTACTGACAAGCAATTTATAAAGGTTATAGGTTCAGAGATAATTTCAAGTTCACATATTCAATAAAGCTGCTGCAGTATCTAGAAAAATTCAATAATTATCTTTTTTTTTTTCAAACTTTTCTTTAAGAATCCACTTTGGGGGGACAGAGTCGGCCACAGTGTGGTGTGGTTTCATGAATGGTGCTGTGCAAGCAGGAACTAGAACTGCCATTGAGGTAAACAAAAAGATATTCACCATTCATATACAGTTGTGTATGAATTTACAGTTTCCTGCTGGTGGTTGTCTACAGTAAATTACTCCCATCTTTTCAATGGGGAAAATTATGTGAATTTTACAGATATTGTATTTTTATTTTGCGGCAGCAACAAAATTAAGAAGCAGGCTACCGGTAGTTTATACTCTGTGCAGTAAAAGCTCTGCAAATGCTATATAAAAATATAATTTTTTTATTATGAAATTATGTATCTGAAAGTGTGATAATTTTTGCCCATTTAAAAGAACAAGCCATTGCAGTACTTTGTTTTAATCTTATACCTCTCATAGATTTGAAAGACATTTTTATGTACAGACACAGATGTGTCTGTACATATTGCCATCACTTGCGTCTGTCGTCGCCATTGTCGGCGCCGTGCACTTTCCTTATTTAATGTTCTGTTGCTTTGATAGCAAGAAATGTTGATTCAAGTTTGTGTCCTCTTTTTTCGTTTGGTAATTGTGATACAGAATGTAAACCAGATATTTTATTAGCCTTTACTACATTTATCATGTTAATTACTGGTACAGTGTATGGTGGTACAATGTATAATGAATCCAAATCCATTGAGTAGGTACATTATGTTGATGTATTAAAGCATACAAAAGTATACAGTACTGATATATACAGTATTGAGATATATATATGTATAGGCAGCCAGTATATTGTTATACTAATGTACTGGAACATTTACTTGCAGGTTGTGGTACTTAATTTAAAAATTGATTTATTAAAGGTTCTCTACCACCTCCGACCCCAAGCAGTTGCCACAGAAGAACTTAGACAAAGTGCCTATTGTCCGGCGTCCACCTGGCCACAGAAGAAGAGGAAAGTGAAGAGACATAAGATATTGAAATGGACCCTTGGGTTTGGGGTCCTCACTTGTTTAGCATTAGTGGCAAGAAGAACTTACATAAAATACATTGATTGAGAATTTGAGTTACATGTACTTAAGATAATTGTGTAGAAAGTAAATGACCACATGAAAATGTTTACTAGTACAGATTTGTAGCTTACATTTGCATGCGTTAGTGTAGTTTCTGGCAGATTTTTAAAGTTATATAATTTCTCTGATCAGTTGGTTGAAAGCTTTTATAACTTTCAAAGGAATTCTTCTTGAACTCATTGTTGTAATGAATACTTACGGTTCCATGGTGAAAATGTTTTTTAAGAATTTATGTCTTTCTCTCATAAAAAAGTATATCAGGCAATCAAACCACCAGAACATGAAATAATCAAATAAATACCTTCCTTCCTGTGGGGATAATTGGTAAAATTTAAGGAACAGAAAGCCAGTGTGTGGTAAAAAAAATAGGTTAAGAAAGCCAGTGTGTGGTAAAAAAAATAGGTTAAGGGTATCTTGCGGTATGGTGCCAAGTTCCTATGTCATGCCAGTATGTGTATATTCTGAGAAATGGCAGTAAGTACAGTGGTGAGTCCCCTTTACCATGCCTTATTAGGAAAGGCAAACAGAGATTGTTATTTACAGACCAGAAGGCTTGTACCATAGACGTTCTCAATAAAAAAAACTAAGTTTATTCAGAGAAAAGGAGGAAAAGCGTTATATGCTCTCCTTGATGACTTTATGAAACGCATTCCATATACTTGAAGAGGTTGAAAAAAGAAGTAAAGACCTGATTGTGTCAGTGATGGAAAATTTGAATGATGACATGTCACAATATTGCATACATGTACAAATATTTGTGCGTTGTCCCTAGATTTAAAATTAATCAAATATTCAAATATTAGCTACTACCAGTTTATGTAGCAGTTTTAACAAGGCTATCAGGTTATAATTTATGGAAGACAGTCTCCATTAGATTTTGTATTAAATTTGAGACAGTATTGATGTCTTTTTAATTGAATCTACACTGTACTGCATCAAATGGTACAATGTAACAGACTGCTTCTTATATTAAGATTAGAATTTTAGGTTTGCGTCTTTACATCCAAGTACTATAGTGTTTCGATTGCATACTCACTAATGTTGTTAAAAGTAATAAGTATTGCCTAATACAAGCATCTTTATAATGCCACTATTTTGGAAGAATACAGAGCAGATTGGCTTATACAATATGACAGAGGTTACATACACATTCACACAAATGTGAAAAATTACTTTCAGGAAACTCAGAAGAGTCAGATTGATTTAGAGATAGAGATTTAGGAGTATATAAATTATTTTTGTAGCATTTATTTTTCCTCGTGATGCAGATCATCAGTATTCTTAATAAATACATAGTATGTGTACACTTTTTATAGATCTTTTGCTTGCTGCTTTTATATTGCAAACAGAAGGGACATTTGATGTACCTGTATATGTAGCTGCTCAATTTAGTGAAACGTTATTTTGTTAATCTAAGATTTGTTTTGTGAACTGACGGAAAATCTGTGTACAGTCACATTATTGAAGAGTGTAGAATACACATGTATGTATAATATGCATTTTTAATGATAAAGAACAAATAGTTATTATGCAAATTTGCAATTATACAAAAGACTTTCTCCTTTATTTCTTCCTTGGTCACATTTGAAACAGCTCTATGACTACCAAACCATAGTTTTGTTTGATTTTGAAATCACTGAGTAGCACTGTTAACCAGCCTTCAATTTCTAAAAAAAAAAAAAAAAAACACCACTGGTCCCCTCTTGAAAGTAGAATTTTGACTAGCTGAATTATAGTTCTAGACCATACCAAATAGCACCGTTTACCCAGAATTTACAGAGTTAACCAAAACTGTCTACCAATCTGATTTATTGATTATTTTCAAATGCTTAAAGGGATAATAACTCTTCATATGAGATCTTTATTTCACAATAAAAACATTGTGAATAACTCATAGAAATATAACATATTTTGTTTTACCACAAAAACAGCAGCGATAGCTATTATTCTGATATCTGAGCTTCTCTTTAGACCACGTGACCTCCATTGATGGCTATACTCTGTTAAAATCTCTTAAGAGATTTTAACAAAAAACCGAACTTTTTAAAAAAAAACCAGGGACTAACTTTGAATGTAAAAATGGATTCATTGACCATTGGTAAGTATAGGAAAATTGTTGTTTACTCCAGGAAAATTCATTTTTTGGCCGAAACGAAGAGTTATTATCCCTTTAAATTGCAGATTGATACAGATCTTTCAATTAATATGTTGTTCATACTCTTCAATAACTTCATTCTGGATTCAATTTTACATGATATCAGTACCATCTTTCAACCCAGGAAAAACATTCCATCATGAATTCCTCCAGGTAAACTGTCTACCTTTGTAAAATATGTTATAACGAATAATACACAGTTAAACATCAATAAATTCATTTTGTTGCTCTTAACATCAAAGGTGGAACAACAAGTAAGGAATAAACAAGACTGCTTTGAAATAGTTTGGATCATTGGTATAATCTCAAGAAACTGTCCACATCTGACTTAAAGTTCATTTCTGATCTAAAGAATAAAATGTACTCGTGATGAAATGGTTATTCCTCAACAACACTCGAGAAAATCGGAAAAACAGTGGCATGCGACCCTCTCTCGAGGAATGACTGTGTGCACCCAGCATTCTTCAGTAGGAAAAGGATTAGAGTTAGTAAGGGTAACAGAAAGGACTAAGATAATGATTTTCTCAAATGCCATGCTGAAGAATTCCCCTGCCACTAGAAGAAATTTTATAATTACTAATTCCAAATGATTGGCAGACATGGACAATCGTACCTGTAGGCAATACCAATGTTTCTTGTGAGCAATTAACCCTGCACATTTCTCGTGTAGACCCAAAACTTATAGCTAATGCAGATTACAGATATTGTAACCTTTTATTTTTATCCAGATTACTGAAAGTAGTGGTTTTCCTGCATCTAATTATGATTTAAAACAATAACAAGGCAG